CAAGGAGAACATTAATCAGAGAAGCAGCCAAAAGGCCCATGGTAACTCTGGAGGAGTTGCAGAGAGCCACAGCTCAGGTGGGAGAATCTGTCCACAGGACAACTATTAGTCGTGCGCTCCACAAATCTGGCCTTTATGGAAGAGTGGCAATAAGAAAGCCATTGTTGAAAGAAAGCCATAAGAAGTCCCGTTTGCAGTTTGTGAGAAACTGTATAAAAAACTTTGCAAGAAACTGTATAAAAAACTGCCACCACTGACCTGGTAGCTAATATAATGACATTTATGCTTTGAGCAGTCATACCTAGCACTAGAAAAAATAACTATCCAGAAAAACTGATTCTTGTTAGAGATTCTGTATATAGTCCTACAGAACAGACAGTGCACAGTCCACAGTCCTGATTCCCTGCAAACAGGACACAGGAACTTTGATATAGAAAAAAGACATAAAGTTTATCATAGAGGCAGCTACAAACTTATAAACACTGCCATCTACTGGTTGAAGAATATATCTATATTTGTTGCACAGAAAATACATGAACACTGTATTTCAACAAATCTGATTCTTTATAGCTTTCATTAAGGTTGCTTAGCTATGGGGTGTCTGCATTGCTCACAATATATCCATGCTGATATTTTTGTTTCTGGATCTGATCGTATCGTTCTAATCAAGCATTGAACACAGCGTGTCTATAGGTAGAAATTTCCAGTAATATAATAATAGCGACCACATGAGAACAACAGTTCATTACTTGGAGACGACCTATATATATCTTGGACCTTGATTATTGTGAATAGCTAGAATGGTGGAGTTTCTCTTTAATTTACTAGGCTGCCAGTGACAGCTAGAACAGTACATTTATTCAGCTGAAGGAAAGCTGGCTGATCTTGTGACCTTCTCTAAACACAGCCATGGACTAGCCTCGGCATAACCTCTCTCCGAGGGCTGTTCTATCCCAGACAGATTGATTGGAAGAGATTTGAAAATGACCTTCGCATGACAAAGATGTCCTCCGCCTAAGGCTTCGCCAGGGCACTGTCAATATTCTCTGGGAAGAACACAGACGTTCCACTAACTAAGCCAAAAATCCAATTTATTGTCATTGTATTTAATGGCCCACAGGGGATAGTTAGAATGAGACGTTTAACAAACTCGGAGCTGTCCTCGTAGCAGTAGGAGATTAATGATGGAAAGGCACAGACTGACCCTTCTATACTACAGAAAAAGTTCATTTGTGTGAAATATATATTACATTTAACAGATTATATGTTGCAGGATGATCGTGTATAAGAAGAGGGGGACAGCGATAGAGTAGATTTATAAAGCATTAAATGTGACATTCAGCACACGTTCACTGCAGGTGAATCTTCTTGATACATGTGTTTTAACCCCTTCACAACCATGCTATAGCTGATTGACGGCTACAGCACGGTTGTCCAGTTCTGGGAGAGCGTCATATGATGACCTCCCAGAACATGCCCTCCCGCGTGCCCCCAGCGGTGCGCACCCGGCGCTGTCCGTGATTGCTGCTGCTGATCACATGATGAGGTACAAGGCCAATCACAGCGACCTTTTACCATGTGATCAGCTGTATCCAATGACAGAGCCAATCACCAGGTAAATCGTAGTTGCCGGTTATTAGCAGCACTTTCCTCATGCTGTCGCAGCGTGAGGAAAGTACTGCCAATAACCAGCAAATGTCACAGAGGACATCTGCACTGATCATCAGGGCACTGATGATCTGTTCCAGCAGTGCCACCCACCAGTGCACTCCGCCCATCAATGTAGCCCATCAGTGCCACCCATCAGTTCCCATCATTAATGCATATCAGTGCCACCTCATCAGTGCCTATCAGTGCTGTCTATCTCTCCCACCCCATCAGTGCTGCCTATCAGTGCAGCCTCATTAACGCACACCAGTGAAGGAGAGAAATTATCTGTTTGCTAAATTTTCTAATAGAAGCAAAGAAAAACTTTTTTTTCAAATTTTTTGCTCTTTTTTTGTTTATAGTGTACAAAATAAAACACCAAGTGGCAATAAAATACCAAAAGAAAGCTCTATTAGCCCTGCTTCACACTGATGCAGTGCGGAATTCACAGCGTTTTCTGAATCAGAATCCCCGTTCATGCGAATCGCTGCGGGTGTGTATGTTAAGTCAGGGGTGGACTGACCCTTTGGAAACTCGGGCACTGCCCGAGGGCCGAGGTCTGTAGGGGGCCCCATGAGATGCCCCTGGTACCTTTTTCATAGGCTTTTTTGAGTTTGGTCAAGGACACAGGGGCCCCATGATCCCCTATTGCCCGGGGGCCCCATGAGTTGTCAGTCCACCCCTGTGTTAAGTTAACAACACCCCAAAAGCGGTGTGCAAAACGCGGTGTGATGTGGGTGCTAGTGTGGACCAAAAAAAGAGTCCTGCACCATTGTGATGTGGGTGCGGTGCGATTAGAGCCATATAAAATGTATCAATATCTGTAAATCCATGCACTTCCTTCTTAAATAATCACTCAAATATCCAAAAAGAAAAGTAAACCTTTCACCCTTGAAAGTATGTTAATTCTATATCACCTTTTCTCAATAATCCCAATACACCCAAATTATGTCTAAAACACCCAAAGCACACAATATTTAAATAAATGAATCAAAATAAATAAAATACAATTTTCAAGATAAAAATATTATTTTAAATAAATATCCCACAATTTAAAATGTCCCAAAAGAATTCCAAAAGTCTCTGTGTAAATATTCCAAAATGACTTGCAGGTGATCCAGTGTAGACTTTCCAAAATCGTCATAAACCACAAAAACAAAAACTTATGATAGTGTATTACCCTTTAATCACATAAAACCATGAAACCGTGATAACCAGTGTGTCATGCGAACTCCTTAACGTGCACACTTCACACGTCAGGTCTGTTTTTCTTTAGCCCAGGTAAGACTGTCACGGTGTAAGGTCAGGTTCAGAGACCAGTTGCTATAGCAGTAAAAGGCTTACCTGGAACCAGCAGGATAGGTACACCAGCGGATCCCCCTGGGAATGACACAGGCTCACCTGAGGTGCGAGGTCTAAGTATTAACCGGTATTCACCAGAGCTCCTAATGGTGGAGATGGATTGGGCTGCGTGTTAATACCAGGTCGCAGATCTCAGGATCACCCCACCAGGGAATGAGCAGACTGGGAACCAATAGCGGATCAACAGGTTAGGGATCAGACGAAAGCAGAGTCGGTCACAAGCCAAGGGTCGGTCACAAATGGTAGCAGATCAATCGTGGTCAGGAACAAGCCAAAGGTCAGTAGCGGAGGTGTAGACAGCAGCAGGAACAGTAGCAGGATATTGGCTTGAAAGGCACAATAATCTGGCAAGGAGGAAGTCCAAGGACATGGCTTATATAGGAAGTTCATGGGAGGAGCAAGGAGTTCAAGGTTCAAGAGCAAACAAGGCACAAGGCAGGATTATCCAATAGATGAGGCAAGGTGTTGTCCAGCATCCTAGGTAGCTCAGTGAGTAGAGTTACTGCCTGACACAGTAGAAGTCCCAGGTTCAAGTCCAGGCCCTGACAGTGACGCTTCTGACGTTGTTTGTTGTTCAGGAGCGGCTTGACAAGAGGAATACAAAATTTGAAGCCCATGTCCAGGACCCGTCTGTGTGTGGTGGCTCTTGATGCACTGACTCCAGCCTCAGTCCACTCCTTGTGAAAGTCCCCCAACACTTTTGAATGGGTTTTTCCTGACAATCCTCTCCAGGCTGCGGTCATCCCTGCTGCTTGTGCATCTTTTTCTTCCACACTTTTCCCTTCCACATAACTTTCTATTAATGTGCTTTGATACAGCACTTTGGGAACATCCAACTTCTTTTGCAATTACCTTTTGAGGCTTTCCCTCCTTATGGAGGGTGTCAATGATGGTTTTCTGCACAACTGTCAGGTCAGCAGTCTTTCCCATGATTGTGATTCCTACTGAACCAGACTGAGAGACCATTTAAAGGCTCAGGAACCCTTTGCAGGTGTTATGGCTTAATTAGCTGATTAGATTGGGACACTTTGAGCCGAGAATATTGCACCTTTCACAATATTCTCTTTTTCTGAGATTGTGGATTTGGGGGTTTTCATGAGCTGTAAGCCATAATCATCACAATTATGACAAATCACGGCTTGAACTATCTTGCTTTGCATGTAATGAGTCTATCTCATATATTAGTTTCACCTTTTAAGTTGCATTACTGAAATAAATGAACTTTTGCACGATACTCTTAATTTTTTGAGTTTCACCTGTAAGTGCCCAGTAGGCAAGTGGTTAAACTGCAGTATATTATTCACCTGCAGTGAATGTTTAATGAATGTCACAATTACTGCTTAATAAGGGGGTTAGACAAATGGAAACACTGCATGATTTGCAGGTGTGAAAGTGACGGCATGTTTCGGGTTGACAGTGATGTAACATTGGGGGATTGCCAAATGTCATTCAAAGGTACTTAAAAATTGCATGTGCTTTTATCATTTGATTTTGGAATTGTATAAACTTTTGTATAAACACATTCACTGATAGAAATTGGTTTGCTTGAGAAAAAATGTTCCATCCTGCTTTGATCTTTCTTGTCGCTGCTGTCAAAAACATACATTGATTTGACCCCAGTAATGATGAAGTTGGCCATATGATGTTAATTTTTTTTCAATTCTGTGGACATTGTAGCACTACCCTCTTGAGGGCCGCGGGATTTGTTTGGGTCCCCCTAAGCTCTGCACAGCCAGGCAACACGCATTTTTCCACACTTGTACATTCAGAGTTAGTAAACAGTCCTTCAGCTGGTTTTTGTTGTTTTTATTAAGAGGTTAACAACTTGGATGGGGTCTAGGGGTATATAGGAAGTCATGAGAACTGTAAACTCCAGGACAAACTTCTTAGCAACAATACTGTACATGAAAAAGTGGATCAAAAATAGCAACTGGCTCTGTTAAGGGGCACTGAAGTACCTCCTCAGACCCCAGATCAATCCTCCTCTTCACCCAGCTGCACTGGGGGGGATTTCAAGATCTAGCAGTTAAAGTGTTAGTAAACCTAGGACCCTGCATTCACTATATCCGGTCTCCCCGGACCCTGCATTCACTATATCCGGTCTCCCCGGACCCTGCATTCACTATATCCGGTCTCCCCGGACCCTGCATTCACTATATCCGGTCTCCCCGGACCCTGCATTCACTATATCCGGTCTCCCAGGACCCCGCATTCACTATATCCGGTCTCCCCGGACCCAGCATTCACTATATCCGGTCTCCCCGGACCCTGCATTCACTATATCTGGTCTCCCAGGACCCTGCATTCACTATATCTGGTCTCCCCGGACCCAGCATTCACTATATCTGGTCTCCCCGGACCCCGCATTCACTATATCTGGTCTCCCCGGACCCCGCATTCACTATATCTGGTCTCCCAGGACCCTGCATTCACTATATCTGGTCTCCCCGGACCCTGCATTCACTATATCTGGCCTCCCACAGTACACACAACATGGAAATGGAATTATTTAGTAAATATAAACTGCTAAATACCTTTTCTCATCAGCAGTTTCAGCGGTTTTGTGACTGCTATCAGTGTCCAGCAGAGCACTGGTTAAAGCTTGTGGAGTTTTTTTTTCTGCTCTAGGAGGTTGCAGAAACCCTGACCTCTGTCTGGACAGTGCTGATTGGTCCTGTGCTGATCACATGCACTCTCCCAAGAAAATAATCCTCTCTAGCAATACACACCAAACTGAGCATGTACAGAGTGACTCCACTGAATATTTCTTATCAGGAGATAAGTGAGTGCACTGGAATAAGGGGAGGGATCAGAAAAGACAGGATCAATCTGCATTTTTACACAATGCAGAGGATTAACCCCTTAGGTTCCACAGTGAGTATAACAAGCATGCTTTATTGCATATACAGACTGATTTTACTGTTGGGGGTTTAGTAACACTTTAAGTAGTCTCAGATGAGAACTAGTTGGGTCTTGCACCTGACTGTCCTCTCCCTTTATCTGGCACAGGGGGTGCAAAAGTACTCAGACTGTCCTGTCCTGTCCTGTCGGCGTGGTGATTTGGCAGCTGCTTTCAGGCCTTTTGCTGGGCTGGCTCGTTCTCTGCTGCTCAGAATGTCCTCCCTGAGAGACGGTGGACCAGTAAAGATCCTCCTGTCCAGCAACCAACCTGTAGGTAGGTTCTCCTCCCTAGGGCCCCCTCCCAGGCTCCACACTCCAGCCTTTTCTCAATCCATCTTCCACTCGACTCCCCAGCTGCTCAGGCTCTTCCACATTTAAGGGTTGTCCTTGGTCACCATGCCCGGTCTCTTGCCTGGGGATTAGCCAGGTTCCCTTAAACATGCAGATCTAAACTTCTTCCCCTCCTCTGCCCCTCTTCCAGAACGTTCTCTGAGTCCAGAAGCCCTGACTTTTAGAGCCTCCCAGCCTGTCCTGAGGTGAACTCCTGTGATGTGAACTCCTGCCTCATCCCAGGCTGCTACCCAGCCTCTTTGCAACAAAATAACAAAGCCTATCACTAGAGGGCGCTGCACAAGAAATGGTCAGAGGCTGCAGACATGATACAAGAGATGGTCAGAGACTGCAAACATGATAAAAGAGATGGTCAGAGACAGCACACGATAAAAAGTGGTCAGAGACTGCGGACATAATACAAGAGATGGTCAGAGACTGTGGACATAATACAGGAGATGTCAGAGCCTGCAGACATTGTACAAGAGATGGTCAGAGACTTTAAACATGATACAAGAGATGGCCAGAGACTTCAGACATGATAAAAAGGTGGTCAGAGACTGTAGACATAACACAAGAGATGGTCAGAGACTGCGGACATAACTCAAGAGATGGTCAGAGACTATGGACATAATAGAGGAGATGTCAGAGCCTGCAGACATGTTACAGGAGATGGTCAGAGACTTTAAACATGATACAAGAGATGGCCAGAGACTTCAGACATGATAAAAATGTGGTCAGAGACTGTGGACATAACACAAGAGATGGTCAGAGACTGTGAACATAACTCAAGAGATGGTCAGAGACTGTAGACATAATTGAGGAGATGTCAGAGCCTGCAGACATGTTACAGGAGATGGTCAGAGACTTTAAACATGATAAAAGAGATGGTCAGAGACTGCAGACATGACAAAAAGGTGGTCAGAGACTGTGGAAATAACACAAGGGATGGTCAGAGACTGCGGACATAACTCAAGAGATGGTCAGAGACTGTGGACATAATAGAGGAGATGTCAGAGCCTGCAGACATGTTACAGGAGATGGTCAGAGACTTTAAACATGATAAAAGAGATGGTTAGAGACTGCAGACATGATAAAAAAGTGGTCAGAGACTGTGGAAATAACACAAGGGATGGTCAGAGACTGGACATAATACAGGAGATGTCAGAGCCTGCAGACATTGTACAAGAAATGGTCAGAGACTTTAAACATGATACAAGAGATGGTCAGAGACTGCAGACATGATAAAAAGGTGGTCAGAGACTGCAGACATAACACAAGAGATGGTCAGAGACTGTGGACATGATAAAGGAGATGGTAAGAGACTGCAGACAAGATAATAATGTTGGTTAGAGACTGCGGAGATAATACAAGAGATGGTCAGAGACTGCAGACATGATGAAAGAGAAGGTTAGAAATTGCAGACATGCTGCAGGAAACCTTCAGAGACTGTGAACATACAATAGGAGTTAAAAGGAACTGGGGACAAACTTCAGGGGACAACCATAGACTGGAGACATTAGACTGTTCCTAGTGATATCCCCTTGCCTTGCCAAGACAGGAAGTAAGGACAAATCTCTCCAGTGGGTTCACATACAAAGTCCATGGACATGTATAAGAGAGTTAGGACTTAGAACATCTAGTAGTGTTTTTATTGATGTCTCAGCTTTCATGTCCTGAGTACAGCCATACCAGCCATTCCTTCTAAGGACATCACAGGAACATAAAGTGAGAGGAAATTTCACCAATGGGGTCAATGACAGAATAAAACCTTATAAAAACTTAACTCTTTCCCACACTATCCAAAACCAAAAAAGAATTGGGCTGGAGTTAGGCTTTAAAGCTAACAGTAGCATTCCCACAGACTCATCTTCAAGATGCATCATAAAAACCCACGTCTAGAAATCAGTGCGGAAAGGCTGGGAGATTATCCAGGCAGAGCCAGCAGGGGCAGCACCGCATGCCCTCTTATGGAAATTTAGCTTTATCCAGAGTAATGATACTAAGACTGTTTATGCCGCTTCTAAGCATATGCAGTAAATATTTCGATTTAGCATGGATTTCTCAGAAATCTAAAATTATCTCCTATTTACTAGCTTGCCTGATACATACAGCAGTGTTCGTGCCATCAGACTTTTATTATATTTCTATGCGAAACCTAAGGGGGCTCCCCAATTTTGTCACCCATAATTTCTTCCTGTATGTGTTTGTGCATTTTAATACGTATAAACTCCAGCTATCATTTTTAGTATTTCAGTTAAATATGTTTCTGTGGCCAGTTCACTCTGAGTCTGGTATTGAGTCTGGTAGGTCTTAACACTTAGGCCAGCCATACATGGGTCGATTTCCGAACGATTTTTCATTCGAAAATCGGACCTAAGAATAATCGACCGATTTTCAAACTGATAGTGGGGCAATGGTACCGGCCAATTTTCGTGGTCCCTCCCCATTTTGTTTATCGGGCATGTTGGAAAATTCGTGAAAAACTACCAATTTTCGAAACTGGATTACAGAACGAACGACGTTGCTATTTTGCTATTAACCACTTCAAGTCCAAACACTTTTACCCCCTTTTTAGATTTTTTTGAGATAGATAAAACTTTATTTTGGTGGTATTTATTCACCGCTGAGATTTTTAGTTTTTTTGCTATATAAATGAAAAAGTTAAAAAATTTTGAACAAAAAGTGTTTTTCTTATACAATTTTGCAAATAAATAATCTTTCTTCATAATTCTTGGCCAAAATGTATTCAGCTATATTTTTAGTAAAAATAAGCCAAATTAGTTTATAACCAAAAATTACAATTTTTCAAAAATGTTATTTACATTTTCATTTTTTTTTTTATTATTATTTATGGGGTTTTTTTTTAAACATAGTCACCCTAGCAGTACAGTGTCACCATGGTGACACTGTACTACTTGGGGGGGGGGGTATTGAAGGTTTTTTGGGGTTTTTTTTACACTGATTGCTTTTACACCTATAAAGACTTTAAAAGCAATCATTTCTCCTTCTCTCTGGCTGCATTCTTGCAGCCATTGAGAACTACTGTGAGAGCTGTGATTTGTCACAGCTTGTCACTGTAACAGCGTATACCCAGAGATGGACGCGGTTCAACCATTTTGGCTTCAACTTCCATCTTGGCAAAGGGATTAACCATCCTGACAAATATATTTCTCCCTCATTCTTCCCCCTCCCTTCTTAGAGAGGCCCAGTATGTGTGTGAGTTAGGAATGTCACAGGAGGGTCATAGGAGCTATAAAGCCCCCCAAGGGAGCCGGGGGCTCCCTGTCCAAAGAACCTGCAAATTGTAACACCTCGTAAGAGATAACGCAAGCTTTCCCAGGAGTTGAAAGAGATTCCTACCTAATAAATAAAACTCAGCGTAGGTGACAGAATCAGATCAACACTTTTCAAAATCCATTTCTTCCCTATGTCTCATATCTTGGAATATGAGAGACTTACATAAAAACCGGACCTATCAACAAAATTGACCACCAGAAGGCGAACAGTTTGATAGGTCACTCGCATTGTCTCGGATACATAGGAAAACAGAAAAGTAGATCTCGTGAACCGTACAGTGTATAATTTCATAATTCATATCTAATCAATCCTCAGACGTGTCTGCATAATAATCTACCCACGAATGGAATGTCACTTGTGCAGCTGGAAAGTTATGGGCCAAAATATGAGTTATGGGAGATTTTGGCTCTAGTTGAGGTATCAACCCATACCTCCATGCCCTAAGAGTTGTATTGGTCCTTGACGCCAGAGACACCCCCTGCTGGGGTCAAAATAGGCTGTCAGGCCTAAGAGTCTAAGTTGAAGACATCTCCCATTTTAACATCAATACCACCTGGGGAGACCCGTGCCCTTTTGCTCTGAAACTTGGATCTGTTAACCCAGGACTTTGGCAAGTACCTTAACCCTTTCACCTCTCTCTGATATCTCTTTGCTGTGCTGTTGGTCTCTGTATGTTTATATATATATATCTTAGTTACATCTTTTCTGTAAATATTTTTATTGCACCCGTTTGACCTTATAGTAATAAATCTTTCCTTCTGAAAGTGTTGAACTGTTGCTATAGCGCTTTATTGCAATTTACGAATTCCTGCCTCTAAAGAGAACGCTACTGTGTTTGTTTAACTCTTTGCATAATCGGCCTGCGGTGACCATATTATGCAGACGATTATCTCAACCATTATAGTGTTATTGCTGATATTGCCGAGTTTCCTCTTTCTCTGTACAAA